CTGTTTCTCCTCGAGGCACGGCCCTGCGCCCTCTGTTCTCCCCGCCTGGCATTTCATCGCAAATGGCCTCCGATTCGCAAAACAGGTGGCTCGCCGCCTGCTCGGTCATCGCAAAGGCATCACCGCGGCTGCGGCCGCGACCAATTTTCTGGAGTCGCGGCTCGACCTCTCAAACGAAAAGCAGTGCGAGGTCTACGCGGCATCGGCGCGGTACCTCTCGCTCCGCATTCAGTCGACGCCCGAGATGAAGAAGGGACGCAATCCAGACATGGACGAGGAGGCGTCGCGCGCCTTTGTGGCAGTCTGCTTCGAGGTTGGAGAGGCGGACCTCAGGTGGAGAACGTTTCGCGACCTCATCATGCGGCCTGGTGCGTCAGCGGGCGACACGCTGGGGATCGGCTCGCAGCATCCACGCTCGGCGCGTGAGGAGGCGGCACGGTACGCACAGTTGCAGCACAGATTACACACCATCCCTGCGTGCAAGACCAACCTCACCTATTCCCGCTTAGCCTCGCCGCAGACGGCTGATGTCGAACCACTTGGACGTCCTCCACGACGTCACCAACCCGAGCCCTCTCACGCAGGCCTCCATCTCGCAGCCCTGCTCCACTTTCCGTGCAGCTCCGTCAGTACTGTTTACGTTTCTCGCTTCCGTTCTTCCAGGTTGACGAGCTACAGCGGGTGCCTGAGTGCTACCGCCCACAGGTGGACATGATGCTGCGGGAGACCATCCGGCGACTGTGGGGACGTGGACCAGGCCCCGAGGATTTCGCGCTTTGGCAGTCTCTGGAGGAACGAATCGACGAGAACGACCCTGGCGGTGAGTTATATCTCCATATATGCAGTGACACACATGAACATGATGTGACCGTGCATAATGTCTAACATCGGCAGAGCCTGCCCGCAGGTGAGATGCAAGCGGTGTGGGGCGCGACGGCGGCGTACCTCGATGGGCGAGTGCAGCGTACGCCTGAGCAAAAGGCGGGCCGCGAGCCGGAGATGAGCCTCGCAGCCTCGACAGCCTTTTTGCATCGACGGTGGCCCAGACATCGGAGGCGGCGAGAGAGGCGGCGGCGGCGACGGCGGTGGCGGGGAGGGCGGCGGCGGCGAGGGTGGTGGCGGGGATGGGGGCGACATGGGCGGCGGAGAAGATGGTGGCGGCAGGGAGGGCGGGGGTGGCGACGGCGGGGGCGGTGATGGCGGTGGCAAGGAGGGCGGTGGCAGGGAGGGCGGCACGGGAGGAGATGGGAAAGGACTGAGATCGTGTATGGACTTGATAAAGGTCTCACTCACCTCACCCGAGGCACGGTGATTCGGTTCCGAGGTGGTGCAGTTCTGTCCATAGAAGAAGACGCACACCTCATCGCTCGAGCCTTTGACCTCGTACCCGCAGATCAGCGAGTCGGCAACGCTGACGTTGCAGCACGTATTGTCTGCGTCTGCGTCGCTGCTGTTGTAGGTGATCTCCTCAAAGCGGTCGTATCCGACGATCCGCGTGCCATCGCAGTACGCGTTGTGAGCGCCGCATGTCGACTCGCACGGTGGCGGCGGCGACGGCGGGGGCGGGGATGGCGGTGGCGGCGAGGGTGGCAGCGGTGAGGGCGGCGGAGGTGGCTGGGGTGGTGGCAGCGGTGGCGTGGACGGTGGTGGCGCTAAAGGCGGGGGCAGTGAGGGCGGTAGTGGTGAAGGCGGCGGCGGTGAAGGCGAGGGCGGCGACGAAGGCATCGACGGTGGCAGAGACATCGGAGGCGGCGAGAGAGGCGGCGGTTGCAAAGGCGGTGGCGGCGAGGGCGGTGGTGGTGAGGGAGGCGGCGGCGAGGGAGGCAGAGACGATGGGGGCGGAGGCGAGGGCGGTGGAGGGGAGGGTGGCGGTGGTGAGGGTGGCGGTGGCGAGGGTGGCGGCGGCGAGGGCGGTGGTGGTGAGGGAGGCGGCGGTGAGGGAGGCAGAGAAGTGGGTGGTGGCGGTGAGGGAGGCGGAGGCGAGGGGGGCGGAGGCGAGGGAGGCGGAGGCGAGGGCGGGGAGCTGGAGGGCGGGGGCGGCGAGGGCGGGGGCGGCGAGGGTGGCGGCGGCGAGCGTAGATGCTGTGACGGAGAGGGAGGCGGAGGCGATGGCGGGGGCGGCGATGGCGGGAGCGGAAAGCGCGGCGGGAGAGAGGGCGGCGGCGTCGACGGTGGTGGTGGTGAGGGTGGTGGACGCGAGGGCGGGAGCGGGGAGGGTGGCGGTGGCGACGGCGGCGGCGGAGAAGGTGGTGGCGGCGAGGGCGGCTTGGAGGGCGGCGGTAGCGACGGCGGTGGTGGTGAGAGAGGCGGCGGCGAGGGCGGTAGGGAAGTGGGCGACGGCGGCGAGGGCGGTGGATGCGAGGGTGGTGGCGGCGAGGGCGGCGATGAGGGTGGCGGCGGCGAGGGACGATGCTGTGGCGGCGAGGGTGGTGGCGGCGAGGGTGGCGGCGGGGACGGCAGCGGCGGTAGTGAAGGAGGCGCAAACCCGAGGTATGCTTCACCACTCGCTGGTGCAGTGGCCTCGTTGATGCACTGGTCATCACTTGTCACTACATCGTCCTTCGTGGTCCGAGCATATGTCAAGAACCTGCCGGCGTCCGTGCGTGGAACTTCTGGGCCTGCGGTGGCGGCAATTGACCCAAGGCAGTACGGTCGATCGGTGCCCATCGAGAGATCAGTAGCCACCCGTATCGAGCCACACAGGCCGCCACCACCGCTGCCGCACGCACGAGTCTCCCAGCTCGTGGACGCATCCTCAAAGGAATTGTATTCACCAAACGTCAGGATGTTGCTGAGCACGTGAGCCTCCTGGCACGGGAGCTGGGAGCACGTCGCCACCACCTCGACGACAGCACCCGCCTGCAGCTTCGCATCGACGCCCGTGATGCCGCCGGCGTACGAGTACGAGTCGTTGTCGATGCAGACCAGCAGTAGCAGCTCATCGCCTGGGTTGAGGCGATTGAGGCACGACGGGCCGCTGGTTGCAAAAGAGACACAAATGGGCTGTATCAGTAGGCTGGCCACGGCGATACAGTAGACGCGCTCATCTGGCGGGCTCGGTGGAGGTGGCGAGGGCGGCGATGCGAACCGTGGAGGAGGCCAGCGCGGAGGTGAGGAAGGCGGTGGTGGTGAGGACGGTGACGGGGATGGCGGTGGCGAAGTAGGCGGCGGGAAGGGCGGCGGCGGTACGGGCGGTGATGAGGGCGGCGATGGCAGTGACTGACGCGGGAACGGTGGCGCAAACTCGAGATGCGTCTCACCGCTCGCTGCTGCGACGGCTGTATTCTCGCATTGGTCGTCTGCGGTCACCACATAGTCGTCTGTGGTCCGTGCATATGCCAAGAAGCCGCCGACCTCCTGGGGTGGAGTGGTCGGGCCTGCGGTGGCAGTGATGGTCCCAAGACAGGACGGCCGACCTGCGGGCATCAGCAGATCAGTAGCCACCCGTATCGAGCCGCACAGACCGCCGCCGCCGCCACACGCATGGTCCTCCCAGCTTGTAGACGCATCCCCAAAGGGCTCCCATCCCTCAAACGTCAGGATGTTGCTCAGCACGTTTGCCTCCTGGCACGGGAGCCGGGAGCACGTCGCCACCACCTCGACGACGGCGCCCGCCTGCAACTTCGCGGCAATGCCCTTGAAACCTCCGGCGGACCCCCACGAGTACGAGTCGTTGTCGATGCAGACCAGCAGCTTGAGCGTGTCGTCAGGCTTCAAGCGGTCTGGACGGCAGCGATGCCAGGGTTGGCCGCTGGCGGGCTGGAGGCAACTGGGCACGACGAGGAGCGAGCCCACGGCGATGCAATGCCCACGGTCATGCTCCTCTGCTGCCGCTGCGAGCATGACGAGCAAGCACGGCAGCGTCCGGCTGCGGGGCGCCATTGTGTTGCCTGTGTGCCCGGATCCATCCACGAGATGTCTTCCCGTCCGCCCGTCGGCGACACCTATCGATTCGAATTAGACCTCGTTTCCCCCGATGAGAGAGAGAGAGAGAGAGAGAGAGAGAGAGCGAGAGAGAGTTGTTTGCGTGCCAAATTTTGTTTTTCCGCGACAAGCTGGAGACCGGGTCCTAGGCGAGGAGAGCGACGATACGCCAGCGTTAGTTCCCCCCCCCCCCCCCCTCGATCGAAAAGGGAATACCTCCCTTTCTCAGTGTACGTAGCTCTTACGTGCATTCCCCGGCCGGAGGAGGACTGCTGACGGGGTTTGCGGTGAGAAGCGATCCGAACGTGGCATTCGGGTGATCAGATCACTACCGCCGAAACGCAAGAGCACGCGACGCATCGGGCTCATCATACTAGCATCCACCTTGCGGGCCGATCTTCTGGCCCAGCGAGGATGCTGCCGGAGCACTCGCGGGTTTCTGGCCGAACGAAAATTATACAGCGCGCGTTAGGGGTGCGTGGTACACCGAAAAATTACCATTTTTCATAAAGTCCTCAAGCCTGTCTGGTATAGCCCCAGCCGACTCCGCGTGAACTCTCGAGGGATCTCGAGTCGACGCAGCTCGGACGTCGACGCGAGCCAATCCGATGCCTTTGATCGACCGATGCGCTCGCGCGCGCGCGCAAAACGCGCGACTCTGCGCCTTCGGCGCGGCTGCACCGCCAGCGCGCGGCGCGGCGCGCAGAGTGGACGAACATACCAGGCCAGAGTCTGGGGCTCTGCTGCGCAGAGCTCAAACTCGACGTCGCTCGCATCCGCGCGCACGACCGCATCGCAGCTGTGGGCGCCGGCCAATGAGTGCCAGGTGGGTGCTCCAGGGGGGGCCGCCGAGAGTTTGCGAGGAGCACGACCTCGCCAGGCTCACCACGGCGGTGCATGCAGTTGAAGCGACTGTAGCTGCAGACGCTCCCTGCTGCTCGGTGTAACTCTGTTCACGTAAACGCACAACCCCGGGCCCCGAAATCGCACAGTGATGACAGTGACATGCAACACGGGCTGTTCACAGCCTTGTTATTGAGAAGAAAATACCTTCACACCGAGTAGCTGGGTGGGAGTGGCTGCGGCTGCAGACCCTCAAGCAAGGCCTTCGAAAGGCGAGGTACCTCCGGGGTCCGCTCTCGTACTCGCTCTCGCTCGCTCGTTCAGCAGGAACCCAGCTTGGAAGCCAGCGCGGTATGATTGCCACAGCGCGCGAGCACAGTAACGACTGCGACAGGACTTGGTGCATCGCGCGATCAGTGCTGCTGGCGTGCGCTCTGGCGGCGGTGGGCGCTTGGCCGGCCCCACCGGCCTGGCAGCTCGATCTGCCGCAGTCGATTGCCGCAGCTGAGGCCGAGGCGGCAGAGTACCTGACGCCCGGGCAGGGCGAGTCGGTGCCGTTTGCCGAGGCTGCTCCAACCGAGAGGCACGTGGCGATGCGGAGCGACTGTGCGCCTCTCACGATCGGGCAGGCCCTCTTCGACAAGTGGCTTGGCGGGAGTACGACGGCAGTGACTCGGGCGGCGCTCGCCTCGCTGCCGCAGCGCACGCGCCTCGCGAGCGTGCTGCCACTGCTCGGGCTGGGCGGCTCGGAGCTTCTGATGGAGCACCCGACTGGATATCGGATGCGCGTGCAGAACGTGACGCTCGTCGAGGTTGGGGAGGAGTACAGCGTGAGGTTCGGCGTCTGCTGGGACGACCTCGAGTGGTGGGAGCAGCAGGACGTGCTCACCCGCTTGTGGGACTCGCGCGCGCCTGACGGCCTCGAGATCGTGACTTTAGATGCGGAATGCGCCTGAAGACACCACCCTCGAGGAGGCTCCGTGGGGTTGCAATGGTATTGTGTCGTCCCCACCCTGAGGCGCCCCAGACCCTGCTTTCCAGGATCGTGATCACCACCATCTCGGTCGACCTCGAGCTCGACTTCGCTATCGAGCAGCAGCTCGGCCCGTGGCTCAGCTACGTGCACTACCTCGAGGGCCGGATGGCCGTCTCGCTGACGGGCTTCCTCACGCTGCACCTCGACCTCAACGCGATGCACGAGCGGGCTGTCCCCGCGTGCGATGGCAAGTTCGAGTTTGTCCACCTCTCCACCGAGGTGGGCGGCATCTACTCGGACCTGCGCCTCGCGGGCACCGTCAAAACGCTCGTGCAAGGCATCGCGCCCCTGTTTGCCCAGGAGGTGGCGCCGATGCTCTGCCGCGGCGACCTCGCAGACGTCGCGGGCCTCACGGTGTCGCACGGGATGGGGGTCGAGCTCTTCGACGATGACGGGCGCAGGACGCACTTCCCGGGGCTCGCGCTCGAGGTGCAGCGCCGCATCCGGAGCCACGAGCAGCTCTTGGGCTTCCTGCGCGGCCCGAACACGGACGAGCGGCGGCAGGCGGCGCTGGTCGACCGCGCGAGGCTGCACGAGGTTGGCGTCTCGGCGATGCTCGGGGAGGGGCGCTTCTCCAACGTGCCGCCGCTGCCGCTGCGACTGGGCCGAGGTGCACGGCATCCCTCTTTACGCCTCTAGCTGTGGTCAGGTGCCTGCTTACTACGACGACTTCCTCGAGGCAGGCGGGGAGCTGCCGACGGCCAAGGACCTCGCCGCGACGGACGCGGCGATGGAGGAGGGCCTCTTCGGTCTGACGGACGGCAGCGGCGCGTACTTGACGAGAGTGGACCTCTTCGTCGAGACGAGCGCCATGCTCGCGGGGGAGACGCAGCCGATCCCGATCTTGGTCGAGCGGCCCCTGACGACGACGGCGGTGGCGAGCTGCGACGGCTGGGACTGCTCGGTCCGCGGGCAGGTCTGTGCGCAAGGATGGACTTGCTGCGCGGAGGCCCGTGCGCTGGGCTGTACGGGAGGCTTGTGCTGGTTTGCCAACAGCGACCTGCCCTCGGCGGGCAAGTGCACCCCAGAGGCGGCGACGGCAGAGTCCAAGCTGTCCGCTGCAAAGGCGTCGGCGGCCAAGGTGGCGGTGGCGGTGACGCACCCCTTCCGGACGTCGCCCGAGGCAGTCTACGGCTGCCACAAGCTGACGAGCCACGAAGCCGTCGGTGTGGACAGCGAGCGCCCGCCGCCGCCGCCGCCGCCCGGCCCGCCCCAGCACTGCACCCGCAGGCCGCAGCTGGAGGTGGTGGCGCGTTTCACCCCGTCGGAAGAGGGGCTCGGCTTCCTGATTGGCGGCTCGGGGCGCGGCTCTTTCGAGATGGAGCTACGCGCGCCCAGCCGCGGCGAGATGCGCGCGGTGCTGCGGGAGGAGCGCGGCCCTGACCACCGGGCGGACACGTGGGCCGTCGACGCGGCCAGCGCCGCGGGCGAGCCGCTGCGCAGGTACGGGAAGGTGGAGCGGCGCAGCGGGGTGGGAGGGTCGATGGTTGCGGACCGGTTCGTGTACTCGCAGTGGAGGCGCGAGCAGGCCTGGGCGTGGCCGTGGGGCGGCGGAGGGGAGGAGCGGGAGGAGCGGGAGGTGCTGTCGCCTCTGCTCGAGCTGGACGTGCTGCAGGCGCCGTCCTGGTCAGAGATGGGCAAGGGGCGGCCCTCCGAGTCGCTGCCGCCGCTGCGGGCGGTCATCCGGCTCGCGGGCACCGACACCGTGGTCGGGGTGGTTGGCGAGTCGCGGAGTGGCCGCCACTTTGGGCTCTGGCGCGAGATGGTCGTGTGGGCCGCGAGGGACGTCGACGTGCTCGGCGGGTTTGCTCTCAGCTTCGCCTCCGTCTTCATGGCCGAGGGATGGGAGGCGCTCCGCAAGCTCGCCGACTCGCCGTGGGCGCTGAGCGCGGCGGCGGCGGGGGCGCCGTTTGCCGCGAGGCACGCGCTGCACGATGCCGCCGCGAGGGGGGACGGGCCGCTCCGGTTCAGCTTCGACTTTGCCCCGGGTGGCGTGCTGCGGGATGCGAGCGCGCACGCAGCCGCGGACTGAGCTCTGACCTCGGGGGAGAGGCGCGCGCGCTCTGCCGCGCTCGCCGTCCGTACAGCGTGTACAGCATCAAGGGATCCACATTAGTCACATTACATACATGCACCAGGTGTTGGTTAGTTACGAGTAGACCTGATTGGCTGATCCTATGTATCCATGCGGAATCGACCCTATCCAGAGATAGCGCGAGATCGCCCGAGATCGCGCGGCGCGGCCCGAGGCGAGGTGGATGGGTTGGGAGCGAGGGGGCGCAAGTGGTCAGTGCGGTAGATGGTCAGCTCGGGGCGCGTGAGCCGGACTTGTGGGCCGGACCACCCCAGTCCTTTCTCTGCGTTCTCGCACATGGAGTGCGAGGTATCTCAATTCTCGTCTGTGTCGCCAAACTGTCACTCCCGTCGTCTCCCCTTTCTCCCGGCCGGGGTGGGGCGCGCGCGGGGGCGGCGGGTGTGCGGGATGTCCGTGGGCCCGAGAGCGATGTGCCATGTCCGCCTTGCGTTTGTTTCATAACATCGAAGGCTAGCTCAAAGAAGAAGAAAAAAGCAACTCCCGAAGCGCTGCCGATGCTCGTCCCCTGCATCGCTTCTCTTGCCTTCTCGGTGGGCCGTCCTTCCCCGCGGCAGCATGCGTTCCCATGCGTGCGCATGGCGGCCGAGGAGGTCGCCTTCACAAAGTACCACGGCCTCGGCAACGACTTTGTCCTCGTTGACTGCCGCGAGCTCGATGCGCCGCCCGTGACGCCAGAGGTCGCGGCGGCCATGTGCGACCGGAACTTCGGCGTGGGGGGCGACGGCGTCATCTTCGCCCTACCGCCGCAGCAGCCCGAGTCGATGTGCTCCATGCGCATCTACAACTCGGACGGGTCGGAGCCCGAGATGTGCGGCAACGGCATCCGCTGCCTCGCGCGCTTCTTCGCGTCGCTGCAGAAGGTCGAGCCGACGTACACGATCGATACGCTCGCCGGGCCGATCCGTCCCACCCTGCTGCCCGACGGCGCCGTCAAGGTGGACATGGGCGAGCCCATCCTCGACGGCCCGTCGGTGCCGACGACGCTTCCCGTCAACGACGACGGCGTGGTGGTGGCGGCGCCCATCTCGGCGGCGGGCGCGGACTTCCGCGCGACGTGCGTGTCGATGGGCAACCCGCACGCCGCCATCTTCGTCGACGACCTCGACGCGCTCGACTTCGAGACGGTCGGGCCCGCGCTCGAGAGCCACCCGGCCTTCCCGGCTAAGTGCAACATCGAGTTTGTGCAGGTTCTCTCGCGGACGCACCTGCGGATGAAGGTGTGGGAGCGCGGCGCCGGCCCCACGCTCGCGTGCGGCACCGGCGCCTGCGCCCTCCTCGTCGCCGCCGTGCTCGAGGGGCGCGCCGAGCGCGCCGCCACCGTGAGCTTGCCGGGCGGAGACCTCTTCATCGAGTGGCACGAGGGCACAAACCGCATCTCGATGACAGGGCCCGCGCTGCGCGTCTTCGACGGGACCTACAGACCCGAGCAGTGAGGATGCCCCTCGGGCTGGGCAGCGGGCCGCCCGTCGCAGGCGCGGAGCCGCTCAGTACCTGTCGAAGGCTGTAGTGTATTAAAAAAAACCGCGATCTGCATCATCTCGCGTGTCACACAACAAGACCTGCGCGCGGCGCGGCGCGGGGCGCGCTTCCTCGTTCCCCTCCACGCCACACCCACACCCCACAGCTGTGCACAGTCTCGCCACGTGCGACAAACTGTATGCCACCGCGCAGCGTGCAGCGGCGTGTGTGCCGGATCGTGACTGGAGCTGCGCGCAGCTCCTCTCACACACCGCGTCACACCCCCGCACACACAAGTCCTCTCTCACACGCGAACCGAAGGCGAACCCCCATCCTCCCGAGAGACCTCCACACACCAGCTCAGCCGGTGGCGAATGGGTGCCCACCACCCAGCAATCACCCCCCCTTCCCCACACCGCGCTCGTCCAAGTCAGTCGAGGCCCATCAGCTTGGTGCGGCTCCAGACCCCCGGTCGTTGGTGCGCCGCCGCCACGCGACCTCGCCCGCCCTCCTGGCGGTCCCCTTGGCTCGGCGCCATCTGCAGGGTGGGGCGGACCGGCGCCGAGAAGGGGCCGCACTCGGTCCAAGTCTTTCGCGCGTACCCCTGCAGCTCGGCCCGCACGCGAAACACGTAGATCGACGTCAGCTGCAGGGGATCCGTGGTGTGGAAAGGCTCGATGCACGTTGCGCGGTCGTCCTCGCTCCAGCTGTCGGCGCCTGCCCGCTTCCACTGCAGCTCGTACTGCACCAACCTCCCCGACAGCTGCGGCGGCGCCCAACTCACCGCCACTCGCCCGCCCGCGGTGGGCTTCACCAGCGGGCGCGACGGCAGCTTAGCGGCGGTGAGCGACGGCTTAGTCGGCTCGGAAGGCGCGCTCCACGGTCCCCAGACCGAATGCGCGGTGGCGGCGGCGCGCACGCGAAACTCGTACGCGACGTGCGTGCGGAGCCCAGCTTTGGTACAACAAGTGACCTTCAGCTGCGAGCTTGCGGTGGAATCGGACCACGCGATCGCATCGACCTCGCGCCATTGCAAATGGTACTTGCCTGCGTCCGCGGAGTCGGCGGCCAGCCAATCCACGGCGATGCTAAACCCGTCGATCGCCGCGGCCACGGGCACGCACGGCAGCCGCAGCGACGCCACCGCGCAACGCTCCTGAGCGGCGTCGAGCTCGCTACATGCCTCGCGCAGTCGCTCCGCGAGTGCCGAGGAGGACGTCGCGACCGACTCCGGCGCGTCGCCCGCCATGGCTGCGTCGTAGAGCTGTCGAAGGTGCCGGACACGCTCGCCCGCCTTTTCCACCGCGATGGAGGCTGTGCGGGGAGCGGCGCTCATCTCAGCAGGTGCGGCCGAGGGGTTGTGCGGCACGATAGCCGTGCAGTGCTCAAAGTCGAAGGCGTCCGCCTCCGACTTGTTCGCCTCGCTAGCACTCAAAGGCGCCGCCTGGTCGCTGCTGAGGCGAATCAGCTCGTGCAGGCTTACTCTGCCCTGTGCAACCTCTTGCAGCTGCGCCCTCCATCGCTCCTCCATCCTCCGGACCTGGGTTTGCCATCGTGCCTCCACCACGGCCGCCGCCTCGGCCGCCGCTAGCCTGGTATCCTCCGCCATGCGGGCCGTGACGTCGAGCTTCTCGTGCTCAATATCCTTAAGGCTACGCCCGGTCGCGTGGAGCTGCTGACGCAGCGTGAGCAGCTGCCGCTCGAGCTCGACGTGGCTGTGGCGATGCTGCGCCTCCGTCTCGTGTATGGCGGCAGCGACCGCGTCCTCGAGGTCGGCAGCATGCCGCTGCTCTGCCGCCTGCTCGGCCTGGAGCACAGCGAGCCGCACTGCCTCGTCCATAGCCTCCTTCTGCCGCCCCTCGAGTTGTCGTGCGGCGTGCTTGACGCCGGCGCCGAGTCGGGTCTGCAGCGCCACCACTCGCGTGTCGTGCTCCACCTCCTGCTGCCGCAGTGCGCGTCGCTTCTCCTGCGCGGCGGTCTCCTCGGCCTTCTTGAGCGCCTCGTCGACGGCGCGCGCCACCGCGAGCGCCATGCGCTCCTCGGCGGCCTTGACCCGGTCGCGGATGTCGGCGGCGGCGTTGCGCATCACCAGCTCGACCTTTGCGTTGGCCTCACGCTCCACGTCGGTCCGCGCCTCCGCCTTGGCTCGCTCGAAGCGCCGCTCCTTCTCCGCCGGGTCGATCTCTGCCTCGGCCGCAAGGCAGCGCCGCTCGAGCTCATCGAGCCTCTCCGCGTACTCGGCGCGCAGCGTGGCGACCCGCGCCTCCTCCGCCGCCTGCAGCTCGAGGCGTTGCCGCGCGAGCAGGCTGTCGGACACATCACGAGCGACAGGTGGCGGTGCGCTCGGCTCGCCATCGGGACGGACGGCGGCCTCTGAGGCGCAGAAGGGGTGCCAGTGGCCCGACGCATCACAGGCTCGGACGCGAAATTGGTACGCGCTGCTCGGGTCGAGGTTCTTCTTGGTGACGGTGGTCATCGGCAGCTGGCGGCTTGCATCGGTGCATTGCCACGGCGGCTCGCGCCCGACCTCGCGCCACTCGAGGTGGTAGTGGGAGATCTCGAGGCCGCAGCTCGCGTTGTTGAGCTCCCACTCGACTGTGATGGCGCTGCCGTCCACCGGCTCCACCCGCAGAAAGCGCACCCCGCCCCACTCCCCCGCGACCTGTCCCTCCTCGCTGTCACGCACTGCTCGTGTCGGCGGGGCTACGCCCTTCTCCTTGTCTGAGCTGATCGGCTCCGCCGACGACCCCGGAAGGCCTTGGTCGAGACCTGGGAGCTGCGAGAGCGACTCGGCCAGCTTGATCAGCCGCACCGACGCTTCCGCTCTGTCATCCGTCGCCTCGCCGGCGACCACGTCACTAGCCGCCTCGCAGGCCGCCACAGTGATGGGCCGGACGACGCCAAAACGGTACGACGCGCGGCCGCGCTCAAGAATCTGAGTGATGAGCCGCTCGCCGAGGTAGCCACCGTCGGTGGCGACGACCAGGTCGCCCGTGCGGAGCCCCGACGCCTCGGCCGCGCTGCCAGGGTCGACCTCTCCGACTAGGTTGCTATTTGTGAGGAGCAGGCCCATGCCCTCGTCTGGGCGGGGGACGACCTCTGCATGCAGCATCAGCAGCGGGCTGTCGTGCCCAGCCCACTCTGCCGGGGCGCGCTGCAGCGACTCGGCTACGGCACGCTTGTGGCACACCATCGCAGCCACGCGCCTGCCCTCCACCTCGCGCCAGCCGGGGTCGCCCGCCACCTCGGGGTTGACTCTCTGAAAGTCAGAGTCGACCAGCCCCTCCTCCATGACGCCGGCATCGACCAGCAGCGGGATTGTCCCGCATTTCTTCACGCCGCTGTCGCTAATGCCATTTGCCGCACCATCCGCGAGAGTCTCCTCCAGAAGGCGTCGCCAGCAGGCTGCCTGAGCCTGCCGCGCTGCCTCACGAGCCGCGGTGAGACGGGCTGCGACGGCCGCACGCTGCTGCAAGGAGTGCTCGACCTCGATCTCGGCGGCGGCGCGGTCTTCGGCCTGCTGTGCGCGCTCAATGAGGCTCATGGCTCGTTGAAGCTCGGCGTCCTCCCTGCTCAGCTCCTCCTCCAGGGGTGCGGTGGCGTTTGTGACAGCTGCCTCGGCCTCAGCAATCGCCGCTTCAGCCCGAGCCAGAGCGCCGCCCTTCAGCTGCTGGAGGAGCGCATCAAGCTCCTCCCACAGACCCTCGATGGCGGTCATGAGAGCGAGAAGCAGAGATCCGAGGCCAGGGGGGCGTGGGGCTCCCGCCGTATCGGGCGCCCGCCGTCCACAAGGTTGCCGGCGTCGCGTCGATCAACGCGGATTCTTTGTTTTCGGAAGGAAAGTCCCCCGCCCCCCCCCCCACCACCACCCAAACGCGGCGCGCGGTCATTTTCTCCCGCCGTTTCGCCATGCGGTTACACCTTTGCGCGGTTGACATGATGTCGAGGACACTGCTGCTGCTTGTGGGCAGCCCCTGCGCAGCATGGACAGGATCGTGGACTATCAGCAGTTGGGCGAACGACGTGTCGGACTGCTCCGGCTCCCCTGAATACACTCCCCTCGTGATCACCGCCGCAACTTCAATGGGAACGGACGCGAACGGCGGTATCCAGGCTTGTCTCACTCAAGCGACAGGGGAGTCCTTCAAGCAGACGCTCTCGTGTGCCATCAACGGCGATATTCTCTGGCAAGCACAAGGGGAGTGCGACTCGACATGTTCCAGCTGCACCGGCGGACTCCAGACGACGTGCAACCAGCTCCTCTGCCCTTGCCTGCATCGCGCAGCCCGCACCCGACTTCGGACAGCAGTCCGACGACGCGACCCCACGACCGCAGGCGACTGAACTCGTTCACCTTCAACGACCGCTGCTTTCCCACCACAGTTACGGATACCGCATCCTGCGCGTCTGGCTGTGCGCGATCGGCTAGTTTTTCTCCTATCACCACCACGTCAGGCGACATGCTTTCTCTCCTCACGACCTGCGGCACACCTCCCGATTGGACGGGCTCGTTCAAGACCGAGAACTACAAGGGAAACTCATGCGCCGCCCCGACTCTGTTCGGCACCGCCACTGTCACCCATATGTGGGACATGCCATCCGAAGCGAACTGCGTCTGCCTCTATGGGGACTCCACCGAAGGGTTGGAAACTTCCACCTACTTTATCAAGCAGTGTACCGTGTGCGGAGGGGCAACCTCGTCGGTATGGTCGAGCGATTGCGATCGCAACTGCGCAAACTGCCAGCGACCGTCGTATTCCACCACCCAGCCCACTTTGTTCCCGTCGAGTCCCGGGAGCTGCGAGCCGATCACCTGGACCAGTGCCACCGTACCAGATGCATCGTCCTGCGCGTTTGGCTGTTCGTATTCTCGATTGATCGGTCAACCGGGTCAACCCCAAGTCACCACAACCTCTGGCAGCTTTATCTATCCTACTTGCAACCCGCCGCCTGCGCAGCCACCCCCGCCACCCCCCACCCCGCCCCCGCCGCCTCCGCCCGCGCCGCCCGCGCCGCCACCCCCCGAGTCGTTGATGTGCGCCACTTCTCGCGCCTACGCCTTGGCGGGCAACCCCTTGGCGAGCCGGGACGCCATGTGCCTGCTGTGGGTTGATGCGGGCTACACTTGCTCATCGACTTGGGCCGACGGGTGCTCGCAGGACCACCCGCTCGGCGCCGAATACAACTCGTTTTTGGTTCTGAACGAAGGCTGCTCGCAGTGCGAAGAGTCAACACTCCCTCTCGGCGCCATCATTGGCGGCGCGGCTGGTGGCGCCGCCGTCTTGGTCTTGCTGCTCGCCGTGGGGCTCTGCGTCTGCATGAGCAGGAAGAAAGCGCCGACGGCGCCGGCGAAGTAGAGGTCGAGACGCTGCAATCCGACGGTGCCGAGTGAAGCATTTTGTGGTTCACGCCTCTCTTCACCGTCGTTCTGACTCTGCTTTGCGCCACTCGACCACGGGCGAGGAGGGTGCATGTCCCCAATCATGGCTACTGCACGGCGCATTCGTTGAGATGAAGTCGGCGTTCAGTACACGTACAGACACACCCCAAATGTTGTACAGCACAACGAGACGACATTGGCTCCGCACATATACAACTCACGTATTGACCTAAATGAATAACGAGCAAAAACGGTCGAAAAAAATGCGCGCCGAACAACTCTTTGTGTCGAGATCGAGATGGAAAGCCGGGCGGGGACCGGGAGCGGGGAACACGCGTGTCATCTCGTGTGTGTCATTTTATCTCACATTTGCGACACAAGAATATGGCATGCGCTATATTCTCCTCACTTCAGTCGCCCCTGCGTGCCCCTCCCTCCCGCTGCCGCAGCCTCTCGCAGTGCTCGCCAAAGAGCCTCTTGCGCTCGCGTGGGTCGAGGCCGCCCGTCACCTGATGCCGCCGTAGCACCTCCTCCGCCTCCGCCCAGTGCACGCCCTCGAGGAGGGCGGAGGTGGGATAGGTAGCCTCGAGGAGCTCCAGAAAAGCGTCCACGAACCACAAATCGATCCGCTCCTTGAGGCACGACGTGAGCGCCGCGCAGCCCAGCACAGCGCACGCGAGGAACTGCTCCCACTGCGCTGCGTCCGACGGCGCAACGCTCGGCAGCTCGGTCAGAGCTGCTGCCGCCGTGTAGTGCCTGGCGACCAGGTCTCTCAGCTCCTCGTCCAGCGCCTCCATACGGTCGGCGCCCTCGAAGGCGAGGAAGTCGGTCAGGCAGAGCACGCGCGCCTCGGCCGCCTCCACCTCGGCCGCGTCGGCGCCCGCCTCCACCTGGTCGCGCGCGAGCGCCCTCACCTGCTCCAGCACCGTGTAGTCGACGCACACCACCACGTCGTATGCGGACAAATCGTCCGCCTCGAGCGTCGCCGCGCGGGCCGCCAGCCGGCCGCGGCAAAGGCCAAACGCAGAGGCAGACGCGAGGAGCGAAGGCGGCGGCGCGTCGCCGTCGGCGACGTTGTTCTTCGTCGAGACGGCGTGCGGATAGATCCACCATCCGGCGTCGGCCCAAATGGCGACGCGCTCGAGCAGAGCCTCGCATGTGCGAGCGCGCGAACCGTCGTCGTCGACGAAGAGGACCTAGGAGGTTGGGGACGCCGATCTTCCTGGAAGTGCAGGGAAGGTTCTGCGAGCGAGGAGGACCTGCGCGTGGTAGCGCGAGGCGTCGAAGGAGGAGGCGAAGCGGCCGAGACGCGAGAGGCGCCACGACCGAACCATCGCCGCGGGAGACGAGGACGAGGACGAGGAGGAGGAGGAGGAGGAGGAGAGGCCGCCGCGCAGCTCGAGGAGGCGCGAGGAGCCGAGCGCGGAGGAGGGCCGGCCCGACGCGAGGAAAGCGGCACCCGTCGCAGCGATCGCCGCGTGCAGCTCAAGCGGGTCGCTCGGCCCCGCGGCGGGGATGACGGCCGACAGCGGCCGCATCACCCACCGGGGCGCCCACAGAGCCGCGTCGACAAAGTTACCGTGAAAGCCTCCGACGGTGTGCAAGGTCGTTCCGCACCGCACCCCGGCGCGATCGTACTCGTCGCTCACGTACGAGAGAGTGGGCACGCCGCCGCCGCGGCCGCCTCCGGCGGCGGCGCCGATGCCACCGTTCATGCCGAGGGCGGGGTCGTGGAGGAGCAGGCCGGACACCCGGACAGGCGAGCCCGCGGCGAGCGAGGAGGCGAGGAGAGCGGCCGGGCCGCCGTACGAGTGGCCGCCTAGACGCCGAGATCGGACGAGATTAGTCGAGACCAGCCGTCAGGCCCCGGCCCGCCGCACGAGTGGCCGCCGAGAAAGGTGCCCGCGCCGTCGCTAGAGATGGGGAGGCCTTCGCCGAGCGCACCCGGCACCGCTGCTGCGAGGAGCTCCTCAGCTCGTCGCCGGATCTGCGCTGCGCGGGAGAGCTTGGTCGGGGCGAAGGCGAGGTCGGAGCCGTCGGCGAGCCTCGTGAAGGACGCAGTTCCGTCGGTGTGCTCGACGGCGGCCACGACAACGCCGTGCGACGCAAGTTGCCGCATCAAGTACGAGCCCATGTCCATGTTGCCGCCAAATCCATGCGAATAGATCAGCAGTGGTAGCGGGCGATCGGGATGGACAGGCGGCGCGCCGAGCCAGCAGCCGGAGTGCGCGTTCGCCAGGTGAGCGAGCAGAAAGGAAAGGCCGAGCTGACGGAAGCCAACGAGACCTGCCATTCCATCCGAGGTTGCCCTCCCGTCAGTGCAGTACGGCGCCTCTTCCAACCTCGGGCTGCTGTCGGGCAGAGCAGCCGGATAGAAGGTCTTGACACGCGCGGAGCCCGCCCTGCTGTATCTGACTCCGACCTCTTTGAATGGACCCGTGAGTGGCGGAAGCCGCGGCTGATTGATGACCGCCACCGCCGCGCCCGCTCGGAAGCTTCCCGCAGCAGCGGCCGTAGTGAGCACGCCGCGGATGAGGTCAGAGCGGGTGGGCGACATATACACACGTGTATCGACAACTGTGTTCGAGAAATTTTTTCCCGCATGGAAATATTTTTTATAAGAGGATCCCATTGCACGCTCCTCATTACACGCGGTGGCCACGATCACTGCCACCCTCGGCGCTGCATCGCCACCCTCGCGAGCTCGACCATCGGGTCGCTCCTCCCGCCGCCGCGCGCATAGTCGGTGTCGACGGCCTCACGCATCCGCGCCTCGGCCGCCGCCTGGTCGCCGAGGCTCTCGTGGTAGAGCGAGAGGTAGAGCGCCGCGTAGAAGCGAGAGCCAACGTCGCCGTCGCGCGCGATGGCCGCGAGCTCCCGCTCCTCCGCCTCGCCGCCCGACAGGAAGAGCTGCTGCACCGCCCGCATCACCGGCCGCCGGTCGGTCCCCACCTTCAAGGCGGACTTGCGGGCCGCCTCCAGGCTGCCGCCCTGCTGGCGCGCCAGGCAGAGGAGGTGCCAGATCTGCTCCTCCGTGTCGTTCGGGTTGACGGCCACGTCCGCCGCAAATTGTTCGGCGCCGTCGGCAAAGCGGTCCGCATAGTAGAGGGAGAGGCCGCGCTGCCAGAGGTACGGCTTCGAGGCGGGGTTCGCTTCGATCATCTTGTCGTACAGCGCGATGCTCTCGCCCACGCGGTTGGCAGCGAAGGCGGCCATGCCGTCGCGGACCAAAGAGGCAGAGGCTGGCTGCGGCGCGACGGCCGAGGCGAGCACCAGTGGTGTGGTCAGCACCGCTCGGCGACGGAGCGTCGGCGGGCACCGTTGGTCCCCTCGCGATGGCGGCGTCGTAGAGCTTTTGCAGCTCGGCCCCGGCCTCACGGCTCCTCCGCCCAACGCAGCAGAAATCGGCGGGGGGAGGAGGGCGGCAAGTATCGAGAGTGCGGTGGCGGCGGCAGCTTGCATCGGCCGGCAGAGTTTCGATCCGTGCTCGATCCGGGCGGGCGAGTAGATACCGGGTAGAGTCGCACGCTTGGAGCAGAGCCCTGGCTGGGTTCCGGCTCCTATCCAGATGGGATCCCAGGTCTGACGCACTGGCTGGCCCCTATGCAATAGGTAGGTAGGTCCGCTTTTGACCGCCCCAGAGGGCCCCGCAATAGGTAGGTAGGTGGTGGTGGTGGGGTGGGGGTGGGGGTATTGGGGGGGAGGGGTTTAAAAAACCGCTTCGCTCGCGCGGGTATTTTTCGCTTCGCTGCGCGGCCCCGCAATACCAATAGGTAGGTAGGTGGGGCACGGAGCCTGGCGGTTGGCGCCCGCAATAGGTAGGTAGGTAGGGCGTTTTGGCGCGACTCAGTGCCGACAGACCCCCTATCTGGGTAGGAGCCGGAACCCTGGCCAGTCCTCGAAAATCCTTGGGCGAGAGGGCGGCCCTGGTTTGGGGTGGCCCTCTCCCCCTTTTCCCTTTAGAAGTACTTGAGCACTGGATAGGGTCGATTCCGCGTGGTACGGGACCCTCGATCGTCTCGCCCTCCCTCACTGGTGTGTTCATTGGGGGGGGTCATTGGGTAGAAGTACTACTTTATCTGGGCTTCACTTCCTAGCATCCGTGAGGATACATTGGAGCGTACTAGGGTCCGTCTGGAGTCGTCGCGTGCCTCCACAAGGAAGAGCTACGCAGTACCTGACATCCCCTTGCTGGGGTCCTGCCACTACCGTCGGGTCTCTATTTTAAGAGCAGGTAAACAGCAATAGATCCGGCCCTCAAGCGGCCTAATCGATACCCGGCCCTCACGGAATCGGTCCCTCGTTGTACAGCAATCGATCCTTCACACTGCCCGCGCTGCCAAACTTGCCGAGAATCGGTCCCCATGTTACCTGTGGCGCGAAGCTGATATGTCTCCCGCGCTCGGCGCGCCGACCGCGCAGCGGCGGCAGACCACCCTCCGGTTCGAGGGGCGCCTGGGGCTGAGCGGGCTGCCTCCGCCAGAGTTTGGCTCGCCCACCGGCGGGCTGTCACCCTGCCACGGGTCGCAAGCCCTCTGCCGGCCGGAGCGCAGGCTGCGCAGGCTTCCAGCAATTGGTCCCTTGGCAAGCGCGAATCGGTCCCCCTGGCTCCAGGAACTGATCCGGCACTACACCCGGATCTATTGCTGTTTACCTGCTCTTAAAATAGAGACCCGACGGTAAAGGCGGTGGGTTGGCACTCGATCAGCTTGGACGACCACGGGCACGGAGGCAAGCCTCGACGTCCCGTGGCCTGGCCGCGTCGCCGAAAGGGATCGCACCACAGACCAGAGAGAGGGAGGAGCTAACCATGCGGAGAGCTCTCAGAACGACCCCCCTCATTCCAGGGGATCCTCCAGGTGAGTGTGGGTTTGTAAAAAACGAAGAACGCGCGCAGCCAGCCGTCTGGCGCGGTCGCAGAGCCTGGCGCGGCCACGGAGCCGGCGTTAGTACGCGGGCCCCGTCAGCATCACCTTCATCAACGCCCACAGCAAATCGGAGAAAACCTGCTCTGCAAGCGAGTTTTGTGGCTTAGTTTGGCTTATCCGGCTTCCGTCGTCGTCCCGTGACTGATCGCGCCGCCGCGTTGCACATTGGACACATGCTCTCGCGCGTGGCGCTGACGGGGACTATTGTGCGCCTCGGCGAGGCGCTTCCGGTGGTATTTTTTTCGAGCGCAGTGGACTTCGTCTTGCCGGTCTTTCGATGTCGCCCGCGATTCCCGCGGGTGCACGCGTCGAGGTGCACGGCCTCTCGGCCAAGCCGGAGCACAACGGCAAGCTCGGGCGTGCCGTCTCGTATGATCATAACAGGGAGCGAGTCGGCGTCCACCTCGACTCTGGTGATCGGCTGTTGCTGCGCGTGGCCAACCTGCGGCTGACACAAGACGAGCTTCCTGCGCACAAGGAGAAGGCCGTGTTTGCCCAGATGTTCTCCAAACCCGGCGCGCTGTCCTCAGAGGCGGACGGGTCTGCTGCCGAGCCGACAGCACCTCCACCGCCTGCGCCGCCTCGCGACGGCAGCGGAAGTTGGGACGACCTCGACGAGCAGCAGGTGATGCTCAGCCTCTCCGAGGAGGAAGCGCGAGCCGTTGTCGGCGGTGACGCTGGTACAACCCTCAGCAGCACGCCCTCTCTCGAAGCGGCGCTGAGCAGCGCGGTGCGGCGGAACGAGCTCACGGCGTTCGCGAACGCCCCGCGATACGACCGGCTGGTGCTGTCGTGCAAGCGCACGGACACGCTGGGGGACGCGACGTACACCGTCGAGGCCGGTCTCGACGCGTTCGACGGGTTGGGTTGGTGGACGACGACCGACAGGACGCACGCGGACCTCGCGAGCGACGGGTTCGTGCGGATTGGTGCCGAGGCGCTCGTGGCAGAGTATGGCGGCGTCATGCGTTTCCTCGAGCTGTGCAGGCGGCTGGGGCCGCCCCGGTACACGATGAAAACCGCGCTGGATCCAGAGGCGAAGCCGCACGTCATAGCGGTCGTTGAGAGGCTGTGTGCCGCGTCGGCGCTGCGCTGCCTGCTGTCGTGCGAGGCGGCGGCGGCGCATGCGAGCTGACGGCCTGTGTCGGGCCGCCGCCCCGAAATACACGGTGAGTACTCGAGTAAGGGAGGAAGCAGGGTGAAGAACAGCTCGGGGATGAGCCCATTAAGGTCATTCACGGGTGTCCGCGGCCCACTGTGCCCGCTGGTAGGACAGTGATCGCCGCAAACCCTGTGGTCAGCTCCATATTATCTCGGATGTTTCTTGTAGGCACCGGAACGCCAAAAAACTATTTTGATAAAAGTAATCCGAGCAAAGAGCCGCGGCCGCAATGAATTATAAAAGTGGGCGGGTTTCGAGCGAGGGGGAATCTGGAGAATCTGGGAATCTGCTCACCACACGGATCCCCACCTCATCGAGAAACTTTTCAGTCGGTCTGTCAGTCCAAGACATACTACAGCTCGTCGCTCGACGGCAGCCTGTGCTCAGTATGCTCTCGGCATTCTGAACAGCCTCGCCAGGCTCTCTGTGACGGCCTGCAGGGCCGGCGCGGACCGCCTCGGGCGTGCGATGGCCCTCCTCAGTACCTACCTCTTCGATGCCTGTCGGCTCTCCAATCTCGTCGCCGGCGGCAGGCCCGCATGGCGCGCTGCTCGATGGCAGCCTGCTCAGTCCGCCTTGGACAGTGACTTCTGCCTCGCTGCTCTTACTGCAGCCGCCTCCGGGCCGGCGCCGGCCGCCTCGCTTCGCCAGTGCTGTCTACGCCTGCGACACGCGTGTCGGCTCGCCGCCCGCGTCGCCCGCGGCGGGCCCGCGTGGCTCGCCGCTCGTCGGGAGCGTTCCCAGCAGGCTGTGCAGGGCAGTCTGCCTCACTCAGGGCGCCGCCGCCGCTGCGCGGGGCCGCCACCGGCGCTGCTGCCGCCGTGAACACACTGCCGCCGTGTACGCCACCATCGCCTCTCTTTGTCGCCGATCTCGCCGACGCCGCTCGCCGCTCGCCGCCGCCCTGCCCTGCCCTGCCCTAGGCCCTGCCCAGCCCTCGCACAAACAAACCAACACACACACACACACACACATACACACACACACACACACACACACACACACAACTTTCCTGCCCTCACTCGAGCGCCCCGCGCCCTCCCGCCCCACGCCCTGCGCCTCACGCCTCGCGTCCCACGCACGCCCCGCGCCCCGCGCCCCCACGCCCCTCACCTTGCGCCTCACGCCTCCCTCCCCACCCTCTCAGGCATTTCTCATCCCCGCTACTCGCCGACTCCTCCTCCCCCCGCATGATCGACGACTGCCCGTCCTTCAGCGACTCCTCCCTCCTCGGCGCCAACGTCTACTACCGGGGGACCGTCGCCCTCGGGCGTACTGGCTTGATCCCAGCGGCACACGTCTACGAGGGGGGGCTCCGAAAGGTCGGCATGCCTGGCATGTCGGGCGACTAGGCAGGTCATTGACCTCCCCCCCGCTTGCCCACCCGGCGTGAGGGGCAGGAGCGCAGCCATTCCAACGGCTGGGAAAATTTCTGAACGGCCGTGCATGCGTCTGCATGCCGGCTTACTAAGAAGGTCCCTCGCTCCCGCCCCTCTCCCGGAAGACGCGCGCCGGCCCGGGTGACTCGCTTGCGATGTAGATCCCGTTCCAGCCAGAGGCCGCGTGACCACCACACACAGGGACTGTCTGGCGCGGGAGGGGAGAGATCTAGCCGAACTCGCCGGGCACGCCGGCGAGGTGACGGTAGATCACCTCTTGAGGATCACCTCCGCCAGACGATCTCTCCCGACGGGGACTGGTCTTAGGCCATTCCAACGGCCAGGCCGCTCGCTTAAGGCTGATTGGCTAGACGAGCGGTCTACCTCCAACGGGGCGGTCCGGCGTCCGGGAACGCGTGGAACCTGCCCACCTCGGTGGGATGTGGTTTGGCGCCGACGGACCGCCCCCTCCACCACCCTCGCCCAGGGATCTACAATGCTGTCTTAAGGTCCGACCTGTGGGCTCTGCCTGCGCTCGGCACCGGGCACCGCCTCGGTATACAAAATGCGCCTGCGTGCGGGCGGACCCTCACAGATCACAGATCACATACTAGTTTTCAAGCATCAAGGTGCTCTCCAAGTTAGGCACAAAAGATACCGGCCATTTAGGATTCCTAGACGATCACTGAGTAGGCCAAAATCCCGACTGGGCCGGGAGCAACCTCAAAACGGCCAGCGCGCGGACCCCCACAGCAACAAGAAAAATGCTTACGACGGACGTCTGCTGAAGCAGGCTCGCGGTATCCCGATGGGGAGTGCGCTCTCGCCACCGCTGGCGATAGGAACTCTCGCATGGATGGAGCAGGAATGGATGCATACGCTTGAAGATGATGTCAAAGCCCGATTCCGTATGAAACGATACATGGACGATGTGATTACGATAACTACAAAGGACGATAGTGTGTGGGATGTCGACCGCTTTCGGGAGGACTTCCGCCGTTCTGAATGCTACTGGGCTCCTTTGAAGCTAGAGGCAGCAGAGAGCGCCCATTTCTTGGAAACGACTCTCGAGCTCGACCCAAGCGGAAGCTTCCGGACGAGACTCAAGAACGTGAACGAGGAGTGCGAGGCGGTACCCCGGGTGTGGCGCTACCATCGTTGGGATAGCTTCACATGCGCGAAAATGAAGGAGGGAATCGTTGTTGGATGCCTGCTCAAGGTTGTCGCAATGGCGAGCGATGACGAGGGATTCACGCTCAGCGTGACGAGCAAGCTCAGGGAGTTTACGGCGCTCGGATACCCCTCACACGTGCTTAATGGGGCTATCGGGCGCGCGTTTGCCCGGACAAGAGACGAGCGGCTCCTTCGGGCCAGACTATGTTCACAACGGTGGGAGGCCAACCTCTAGCCATGTGAACCAAAAAGAAAAAATGTATTCTCAAAGCCAGTCAGAGCACCGTCCAAAGGCGGGTGCTGTCGACTAAGGGACAATCTTGTCTGTCGACAGCCGAACTTGTGATGGGACACCCTCGGAATCCAACTGCGTACTACTTGGCTAGCACGCTATTGGCATACCGACGGCTAAGGCCGAAATCGGTTCACACCTGCTCTTGCAGGTGTGAACACAAAGGATTCGCTGTATCTACTCAGCTGCTCCGCTTACACTTGCCTGTGAAGTGTGAACAGCGGATTTTGAATCAGCGTTCTCCTCGAACGATATCGGTGTCGAAACACCGCTCTGACAGCGCTCACAGCTGCCCGCCCGCCGCATTCTCGTGCAACGCTTCGCCAGCCTTATTGCGGATGGGCGCCTGCGGCTCGAGGCCGTTCTCCAAGCGAAGGCAGGGGCGCAAGGCACGTGCAGCAGCGGAGAAAGAGGCCGCCGACCAGGCGACCACTGCTGCTGCAGTGGCCGCTGCGGCTGCGGCGGAGACTGCCACGGTGGCAGAGGCGGCGGCGCTGGCGGCCGCGGCGGCAGAGAAGGAGGCGGCTGCCATGCCGAGGTCGAACACGGTCGGCGAGATCTCCACCGACGACCTTGGCGAATGGTCTCCAAACTCCTCTCTTGGAGCCGGCTCTGTCTCTTGCCTCACACCGGCAGCGGCCAGGCTGCGCGTGCGGCTGGTCAGCGGCTTGCGGCGGGCGAGCCTTCCGAACGGCGCCACCCTCTCAGTAAACAGGGGCGCGTGTGGGGCGGCCGACCTCTTGGAGGAGTACCTCTCCCTCGGAGGCGATGCGGGACGCTACGAACTGGTCACGCAGAACCAGCGCGCCCGCTTCGAAGCCGGCGAGGTGTACACGCACGTCGGCCCGCTACTCCTCGCGATCAACCCCTTTCGCCCCCTTCCGGGCCTTTACGACGCGGCGGCGATGCGGCAGCACGCCGACCCGTCCCGCCCATCGGAGGTGCCTCACGTGTACGCCGTGGCGCGAGAGGCGTGTGGAGCGCTGCTGGGCGGGCTGGGCAGCGAGAAGGGCAGCCACTCGATCGTGGTCTCTGGCTGCTCGGGCAGCGGCAAGACGGAGACGGCGAAGCACGCGCTCACATTCATCGTCTCCTTCTCGCTGGGCGGAGGTGGAGGCGGAGGAGAGGGCGATGTCGAGGCGGTGGGAGCGAGGCTGCTCGCCGCGACTCCTCTGCTGGAGGCGCTCGGCAACGCCTCCACCGCCCGGAACTGGAACTCGTCCCGCTTTGGCAAGGGCGTCCTCCTCTCGCGGAATCTTTGCGGCGACGCGGCCGCGGGGCGGGGCGAGGGCGGGCTGCGCGCCAGCATCCGCACCTACCTGCTCGAGACATCTCGCGTGGTTGGCGGGGCGGAGGGCGAGCGCTGCTTCCACGTGTTCTACCAGCTGCTGGCCGCGCCGCAAGAGGCGCTGTCGCGGTCGAAGCACCACCTCTCCCCGCTGGCCGCGCCGCGCGACTTTACGATGCTGAGCCAGTACCAGGGCTCTCCAGCGGCCGTCGACGACGCTCGCGGCTTCGAGGCGACGGCGTCGGCCCTCGCCGCCGTCGGCCTGTCGCCTGCGGAGGCTGAGGCGCTGCTCTCCCTCCTCGCCGCCCTCCTCCACCTGAGCAACGTGGACTTCGACGCGGAGGCGCCCGCCGACCGCCTCTCCGCGCGCACGGACGCGGGGCTCGAGGTCGGCTTCTCCTTCATGCACGACTACGACGCCGCCTCCGCCTCCGCCTCGCCCCGCTTGTCGTCGGGCGAGGGCGGGGAGGGCGACTCCGCAGACATTCTGCGCCGCATGTTTGGGCAGGGCGAGGAGGGCGGCGAAGAGGGCGGCGAGGCTGGAGGGAGCGCGCCCTTCACGCCGGGGCCGCTCACCAAGCAGGCGGGGTGGATGGCAGAGCGCGAGGCGCAGTATGCGTTCGCGCCGCCCTTCTCTCCCGACGGCACGCTCGTCCACGCCACGTCGCCGCCGTCGAGCAGCAGCTGCTGCACCTCCCCCGCCACCACCGGCAGTAGCGACGAGAGCGACGGGGCAGACAGCGTCAACGTTGGCGGCGGCGGCGGCGGCGATGGAGGCTGCGTGGTGTCCGGCTCGTCCTCGCGCTCTCTCGCCGCCGCCAGCGCCCTTCTCGGCGCGCCAAACTTGGGCGACCTCCTCACGCGGCGGCGGATCGAGGTAGCGCGCGAGCAGATGACGATTGGGCTCGCGGAGGACTACGCACGCGACACGCGCGCCGGGCTGCTCAAGGGCATCTACGCGCGCCTCTTTGCGTGGGTGGTGCGGCGCGTCAACCAGTCGCTCCGCGAGGCTGCGGCCGCGGGGGCTGGCTCGGAGCGGGCCCTCGCCGACGCCGACGCGTCTGTCGAGGTGCTCGACATCTTTGGCTTCGAGCGCAAGGGCGTCAACTCGTTTGAGCAGCTCTGCATCAACTATGCAAACGAGAAGCTGCACCACCTCTTCCTCGCCGCCCTGCTCGCGGCGGAGCGGCAGGCGCTGCTGCGCGAGGGCGCGTGGGGCGACGAGGCGGCGCCCGGCGGCGGCGCGCCCCGGCCCCTGTTTGAGGACAACCAGCCCTGCCTCGACCTCTTCGAGGCGCCGCCGTGCGGCATCCTCCTCCTGCTCGACGATGGCGCCAAGCTCGCCGGCGCCACGCCCGCGGAGCGGCGCCGGCGCGCGAGGGAGTTCGAGAGCCAGCTGCGCAGCGAGCACGCATCGAGCAGCCGCCTCGTGCTGCACAGTGCGGCAAGAGGAGGCTTCACGGTGCGGCACTTCGCGGGCGACGTGACATACGCCGTCGACCAGATGTTTGCAAAGCTGGCCGAGGTGCCCGATCGGCTCTTGGCCGAGCTGCCCTCGCTGGGCTTCCTCTTGCCGGGAGGAGGGAGCGGGGACGCGGGAGGGGCCGGCGGCGCGGATGCCAAGGCAGGTCGGCGCCCAAAGTGGACGCCGACGCGAGCGCAAGGGGCCGGCGGGTCGAGCGTCGCGGCGCCGCCGCAGCGCGCCGTCTCGCGGCTGCAGCCGTCGACGGCGCGCCTCTTCCTCGACGAGATGGCCTACCTGCAGCACCGGCTCCGCCGCTCGACCGTCCATCACGTGCACTGCGTCGCCCCCAACGCCGACGCGGCGCCGCGCCGATTCGACGAGGAGCTGGTAGGGGATCAGCTTCGCTCTCTCGGCACCGCCGCCGCCCTGCAGCTCGCTTTTGCCGTCCGGCTCCCCTACCCCACCCTCTGCGCTTCCCTGCGGGGGCACCTAGCGCCGACCGCTGCCGGCATCGCGCTGCTGCCGCGCCGCGCCGCGGAGGCAGCCCTCGCCGTGTGCAAGGTGCCGCCGGCCGACTACCGCATGGGCACGCGTGCTCTGGATCCCTCGTCTCGTGCATAGCCGCGCGGCTCCCACGCCTCTCCCCTCCTCTCCACAGGCGCCACCAAGCTCTTCCTCAAGCCTCGCGCCGCGCGGAGGCTGCAGCAGCTCCAGGCGCTCGACGCGCCGGTTGCTCGGGCGCTCGTCGCCGCGTCGCTCCCATCATTTTCGGCCGCGGCGGACCGCGCCGCGTGTGGCATTCGTGCATCCCACGCCGCAGCCGCAGCGGCTGCTTGCGGTGCGGCCCCGGCTGCGGCTGCGGCTCGGGCGGCATGGGCCGCCGTGCGACGGCTCGTGCACTCTCAGGGCTCGACGCGGGTCGGCCTCGCCCTCGACCGAGAGAGGGATCGGCAGGCGGCGGCAGCCGTGCTATCGCAGGTGCTGCCGGGCCGGGTGCGGCAGGTCGAGCGGCGGCGGAGCGCAGCGACCCATGTGCAGGGAGCAGCGCGGCGCCGGCGGGCGAGGCTGAGCGCCGGCGCGCGCAGGCGCGATTTGGAGGCGCGGGAGAAGAAGAGGCGGAGCGAGGAGGACGAGGTGCCCTCGGCCGCGTGGGCCGCCGAGGGGGCTTGCGCAGCCGGAGGAGCCGTGGGGCCTTTTGCACGGCTCGGCGCGGGCAGCGACGGCAGCAGGCCATACAGCCCGGCGCCCTCCGACTATTCCCTCAGCTCGCTCGACTCGGATGCCCTCTGGGGCGACGTGGATTGGGAGGGCGGCGGTGGCGGCGGCGGCGGCGGCGGTGGAGGTGGCAGTGGCGGCGGCGGCGGCAGTGGTGGGACAGGCGAGCTAGCATCGACTTCGCGGGACTCTTCCCTCCCGACTCGCAGTATTCTCCCCATGGGGACGGATGCAGGCGTGGCGGGCGGAGGAGTGCAGCTGGTAGATCAAGATGAGACCGGCAGCGAGGCTGAGACGTCGTCCAGCAGCAACGTCAGCTACGATTCAGACGATTTGTGGGGATCTCTCTGATGGTGAGAGCGCCAGCGACATTGCAAACAACTCTCAGTCTTCTACGCTATATCAGAACGTTGTGATTTGATGTGCCAGAGATGCGTGCACGTCGATTGTTCGTGTGCGCCCTTGATACCTTACACCCGACACTCTTCCTGTTTCTCTTCGCTGGGGAGACGGGGAACTGGTTGCTTCCCCCCGTATTATTAGTCTTCTCTATACTCTGAGGGGACGAAGGGCGGCTGGGCGGGGCGCTGCGGCCGGAGCTATTTCCAGCTAACATGGCTCGTCAGAGCCGAGACCCTGGCGAGGCGGCGCTCCGATGGGCGCGCGGCTACCTACGGCTTTAGCCAGTCGCGAGATTCTAACCGCTGCAGATCGGCGAGACAAAGCTATGCCAGCGGGAGATATTTTCGGCAGATATGTGTATCTCCCGATCTCATCCCGGATTCCCGGTGATGGACACGTCCGTACGTCCCTTCACTTGTGTTGCGTTTCGGACGTCCCTTCGTTTGTGTTCTCCCCGTCCGCCAGCGAGACGCTCAGTTGCTGGCGGCCGCAGTGTCTTTCTGTGACCCACCCACCTGCACCTCTCCCTTGTGTTTTGTCTGGGGGGGTTTCTCCTGCGGAGTCGTGCGTGTGCGTGCGCGGGGCTCCTCTTAGCTCTTTGCGAACGTACTCCCTACACACATACATCTCGTACCCGTTCTACCAGAGAGTGAGTTGTGTATATAGAGATTAGGAGACACAGGGAGACGGCGCACACGAGTATGCACACGAGACTGTGCGTACCCTCTCGTTTATAGAGTTACGGCGCTCTCACGTTTCATTGCCATGTATGCTCCGACGTACACGTAGATTAACTCCCAGTCCCTGATGCACGATGGTCCATGCCCCTCAGCGGACAGCGCTCAGGGTGGCTCAGCCCTTGCTCACCCAAGCTGAAGATGCCCTGAGACCTGGCTAGAGGTATCGTTGCTACAAGATGCCCCTGTCACGCGGTGGTCTGTACCGTTGCTTTCGAGAAGGGCGGAGAGGTTGCGCACAATCTTGGCCGTCTCGCCCGTGAACGACTCCACTCGCCGGATGTCGTCCTCAATCATTCTCTTGTAGGTGGACTCGTCGAACGGTCGGTCGATCTTCGGAGGGGCGATGAACCGACGGTGACCGAAGCGGAGCTTGACCTGCGCCGTGACGTCCTCGCCCTTGCTGGTCGGCAAGGCGCGTAAGTTGCTGATAAACGTGCTGAGGCGGACCACGTGCACACGCTGGCCGATAGCGTAGCGGGTCTCGGCCACGAGACGCGTGTCCCGCATCCAACGCGACTCCGTCCACGGGAGGAGAACATCCGTCCGCCCTCGAATACGCAACAGAGCGTAGCGCAAACGCAGCTTGCCTGCTTGGAGCGCGTCCTTCCAGAGCGGTCCCATATTGTAAGTGATCAGTGCGTTTGCCTTGGACTCCGAGTCCGCCTTGATGCGCGCGAAGGCGTCCATGAAGATTGCAATCAGCATATTGAAGAGGAGGAGCAACATTAGCACGAGGTTGGAATAAAAGAAACACACCGCGGCGACGGCGGCAAACCAGTCGTCGGGGTCGTAAGCGGGCTCGAGCTGAGAGAAGACGAAATTGCCCAGCATGATGTCCCAGCACGTGTTTATCGCGGTCCCGTAGTAGGAGAACTCGATGAGCGAGTGGCCGTACAGTAAAAAGCCGATAAAGGCGAGAGTGAACCAAAAGACGATGAACAGGAAGAAGAAGGCGGGCAAGTCGGCACCAACCTGCCGAATGGTGCGTGAGATGATGGCGAGGCGGTCAGACACGTCGAAGAACTCGAGCAGCGTGATGAGAGAGAGGAGGATGGTGATCACCGCAAACTTCTCGTGCAGGGAGAGCAGCTCGGTAACTCTCTCGAGTTCGTAGTGGCGCGTGACGGAGAGGTCGAGGTCGCGCGAGCCGTCCTCGTACAGTACGATCCAGTACATCATGAAGATGAAGGTGCAGCACACGCGCAGCACGCCCAGAATCCAATAGAGGCTCAACGTGCGGCGCTGGACGCTCGCTGCCTTGGCACCGCCCACAAACCCGACCGGTTTTGGCGGCTTGGCAAAGCGATTTACCAGGCGGGCGAGCAGTCCGTAGGCCTGGAAGAAGGTCCACAGCAGCAAGATCACTTCCAAGATAGCCTGAACCCAGTAGTGCTGGTCCATGTACGCCTGAACGGACACGGCGTGGGACAGGGAGCGATGCTCGATGCGCCCCGTCGGGTGGAGAAAGAGTTTCAGCCGCGTATAGCACAGCATTGGCAAAGCGTGGTTATAAAGCAAAAACGAGATGGTCAGCGTGCGCGTGTTCTTGGATATAAAATTGGACGTGGCGAGCTCCTGGAGCCGGAGCGCCGCAAACTTGGGGTCGACACCCAGGTCGACCACGTACCGGGTCTCGCCGTGCCTCTCGGAAGCCTGGTACCGTCGCGGATCGTGTGACGGACCATAGGGAGAGTCCTCGCCACCTCCCTTGCCATAGCAGTCGGGCGGGATGCTTTGCAATCGGTACGCTCGCGGGAGGCTGTCCGGCCAGCTGCACGAAGAGCTGCTCACACGCGTCGTCTCGAGTCGGATGGAGCCCACAAGCAGGTTGTAGGTGCGCACATAAACGTGATTGAGCTCATCGGCATTCGCTATTTTGGTGAAGAGACCACGGCGGACCCACTGCCAGGCGTCCCCGACCTCGGAGACCGAATTAAATCCCAACCCTTCGGGCGTCTCGAGCGACTGGACCATCTCGTCCACCGTGTGCTCAAGCTCGTGCCTGTTGTGGATAGTCTGGCCGAGCTGAAGCCAGACAACCACCGAGAGGAGCAGCATGAACACTACGTGCTTGAAGAAGCCGACGAGCATCTTGCGGCGGTAGAGCCGCTTTTTCATGACGAAGAGCTCGTAGCCAAGATGCAGCGACTCGTTGATCCGCAGCGGCAAGCTCTTTCGCGCGCGATATCCGCGCCACGCGTTTTGAATTTTTATCGCGCCGGGCCATGACTGAGGATCCTTTGAGAAGATTTTTGCCATGTGGGCCTGGGAGTCAAGGTAAACCGACGAGCGGTGTAGGCGCGAGAGTTCATCTTCATCCATGACTTAGCCGACAGGTGCGCCTCGGACGTGCGGTGGCGGCGAGCGTCACAGGCGTGCGGCTGTGCGAGGATGCTTACAACGAGCCGAAGGCTCGTGCGCTCCGCAGCCGCTGCCTCGAGGCGCGGCGCAGACGTTTCTGCACGTTCGATCAAAATGTGGTCAAAGGCGGCGGCGCGACCTCCCTCGTGCCGGTCGCCGGCCCTCGCTTAGTGCGTAGCAGCACACAGCGTGGGCGAGGCGAGGCGAGGCGAGCCTCTCCGGCCCCTAGGAGGCATCCCAGCAGCTCCGGGATGCCCCGCCTCGCATTCACAGTCGTTGCCCTCGCAGCAGTGGTCAGTGCGGAAGTCGCAGTGCCAATTGACTGTCCCGGAATCGTGTCGCACTCTCTGCCAGCGTTTTCGTACGCCGACTTCTCCATCAGCGTGTCTGAGGAGCAGGCATCGCATGGTAACCTCATGATAGAGGTGAAGGACGAGTCGGAGGTTGCAATGCACAACGCCGTTGAAGTTTATCTCCACGCTGGCACCGTACCCCGCGACCCGAGGAGCACTCAGATGTTTGTCAAGACGTACACGGACCGTGAGCACCGCGCTTTTGCTCTGGCAGTGAACGTTCTCCAGCTCCAGCCGCTCACGTACCACGTCGTGCTTCTGGCCGGTGCTCGGGACGCCGACCTGGAAATCTCAATCGACATAGTCGGGACCGAGGTCGATCCCAGCCACAGCGTTCACGGCCACATCTGCCCAGGTGAGTGGGTCTACCACCACTACCGCACCACGGGTAGCGAAGCTGGTCCCGAAACAAGTCTCGAGTGGCTGGTCGAGGCAAGCAGCTCAGCGCTCACTGCGCGCATCAAGCCTCAATTTGGCTCGCCGCCTCTGCGGCTGACGCCCCCAACTCGCTCGACGAGCTCGACGAGCCAGACTCGCATGAGTGTGTGCCCAGAGGTGGGTGGCGACTACTGGCTCGCAGTTGTGGGGGAGGGGGATGAGTGCGGGCACTATACGGTCGGAGTGAAACTCTCCACGAGCGGGTGCGTAGCCAGCGGAGACGAGGAGCGGTCGTCTGCAATCCAGACGCTGCCACTGGGCCGATTTGAGTACGGCGAGTGCACGGCGCCGTTCCAGTACCTCGACTACATCTTCCAGCTCGACGAGGCGACCCACTCGGCCACCAACCTGCGCTTCGAGGCGCAGCTGCGGGCAGAGATCGGCAGCGAGGTGGAGGACGTGCCCGACGCCATCTCGCTGCTCGTCTACACAGGCGGCGAGGTGCCGCAGGACCGCCACACCGAGCTGCGCGCCACGCAGGCCACCGACGGGATCTGGTCGGTGATGCTGAACGAGGTCGAGCTCTACTTTCTGATTCACGGCGCGCACGGCGGGGACGGCTACAACGGGACGAGCGGGTCGGCGCACCGCCGCAGTCTCGCCAGCAGCGGCTCGGCCACCGCCGCCGCCGCCGCCGTGGAGCTGCACGTGGCCGTGAAATGCGGGCCCGACCCTCGCCGCTTCCAGCTGCTCGCGTCGGTGATCCCGTCGCGGATCGACGCCGCGCTGACGCACGCTGAGGCGGAGCCTTGCCGGGTGGCTGCAAGGGTGACGGTCGGTGGCCGGTCTCGACACCCTTTGGACTGTCCATATAGGTTTGCCCCGGCCAGATCGTGTACTTTCACGCCGCGCACCTCGCCGACGTCCGCTTCACGGCCATCGTGCACAAGGGCGACGGTGCGCTGCTGGCGCGCCATGTCGCTTCCAGCTCCGACATCCCGCTGAAGCTGCAGCCGCCGTACGTGCCTATCGGCGAGGGTGGCGCGCACGGCGGCGGCGGGCACCGGCGCGCCCTCGCCAGCGGTGGGTACGACGACCCGACCGTCGACCTGTGCCACCTGCACGACGGCGAGGAGGCGTACCTGGCCGTCTTTGGCGGCGACCACTGCATGGTCGCCCTCGCCATCACCGCCCTTCCCACCGCCGCCGCCATCGCCGCCAATCTTCAACCCCACCCTCGCCGCCGCCCTCGCTGCAGGAGCTCGAGGTGAAGGTGGAGAGCATAGCGCACGCCGACTGCCACGAGCAGCACGGCGGCGGCGAGCATGCCGGCTCGGAGGTCGCCCCGCCGCTCTCGTCCCCACCCGCGCCACCGCCGCCCTCATGGCCCGCTGCCCGCTGCCCTCGCAGACGGGTGCTGGCGTCATCGATCCGGGCCATTTCGTCTACGGCTCGTGTGACGCGCTCTCGTGGGTGGACTACTCGCTGCTGCTCGACGCGTCCGACTCGGACTACAACTTCCTCATCGAGGTGACAGACTTGTCCAATGGCCGATCGACGAGCGACGACGCGCTCTCGCTCCACCTCTTCGACGGCGCCGAGATCCCGATGGACCGCTTCACCGAGCAGCGGGCGGAGCGGGCGGTGGACGGCATCTACTCGGTCGCCATCAATCTCCACAACTTCCACGAAGGCGCCTCGTACTTTGGCATCCGATGCGGCGCGGCGGCGAGGCGATTCCGCGTCGTGGTGCACCGCATGGACGCCATCGTCCCGCCCGACGGCGGCAAGCACCACGGCGAGGTATGCCCGGGCGTATGGGTGTATCACTTCTATGACGTCCCCGCCACCGCCAGCGGCGGCGGCGGCGTCACCTTCCACGTCGAGAAGCACGAGGGCGACGTCGACCTGGTGACGAGGCACGGCCAGGCGCCCGTGAAGCTGGTGCCACCCTTCAAGTACATGGGGGCGGACGAGTACGAGGGCAGCATCTCGCTCTGCAACATCAAGCCGGGAGAGCGGCTTTACCTCGGCATGCTGGGCGGCGACCACTGCGCCTCGTATGAGGTCTTTGCGACGCCGCTCAACGCGAGCACGCCGTGCGAGGAGCCGCTGCACACGCCTCTCGCCCACGCAGGCCGGTCCGATAGCGCGACACTCTCGGCCGGCCACTTTGAGCAAGCCGAGTGCACGGCGCCGTTCCAGTACCTCGACTACATCTTCCAGCTCGACGAGGCGACCCACTCGGCCACCAACCTGCGCTTCGAGGCGCAGCTGCGGGCAGAGATCGGCAGCGAGGTGGAGGACGTGCCCGACGCCATCTCGCTGCTCGTCTACACAGGCGGCGAGGTGCCGCAGGACCGCCACACCGAGCTGCGCGCCACGCAGGCCACCGACGGGATCTGGTCGGTGATGCTGAACGAGGTCGAGCTCTACTTTCTGATTCACGGCGCGCACGGCGGGGACGGCTACAACGGGACGAGCGGGTCGGCGCACCGCCGCAGTCTCGCCAGCAGCGGCTCGGCCACCGCCGCCGCCGCCGCCGTGGAGCTGCACGTGGCCGTGAAATGCGGGCCCGACCCTCGCCGCTTCCAGCTGCTCGCGTCGGTGATCCCGTCGCGGATCGACGCCGCGCTGACGCACGCTGAGGCGGAGCCTTGCCGGGTGGCTGCAAGGGTGACGGTCGGTGGCCGGTCTCGACACCCTTTGGACTGTCCATATAGGTTTGCCCCGGCCAGATCGTGTACTTTCACGCCGCGCACCTCGCCGACGTCCGCTTCACGGCCATCGTGCACAAGGGCGACGGTGCGCTGCTGGCGCGCCATGTCGCTTCCAGCTCCGACATCCCGCTGAAGCTGCAGCCGCCGTACGTGCCTATCGGCGAGGGTGGCGCGCACGGCGGCGGCAGGCACCGGCGCGCCCTCGCCAGCGGTGGGTACGACGACCCGACCGTCGACCTGTGCCACCTGCACGACGGCGAGGAGGCGTACCTGGCCGTCTTTGGCGGCGACCACTGCATGGTCGCCCTCGCCATCACCGCCCTTCCCACCGCCGCCGCCATCGCCGCCAATCTTCAACCCCACCCTCGCCGCCGCCCTCGCTGCAGGAGCTCGAGGTGAAGGTGGAGAGCATAGCGCACGCCGACTGCCACGAGCAGCACGGCGGCGGCGAGCAGGTACGGCGTTGCTTTGACTCCACCACGGGCCTCTGAGGCTATCGAGCGTGCCGGTTGCAGTCGATTGTCAACCGATGAGGATACGGCGGTTGACGGCCCAGGCATTTCACCAGGCCGGTCCCCGATAACGTCACCTAATTTCTTGTCAACACGTGGATTTGGGCTTGCCGCCTCGGCGCGGACACCCGCAAAGCGTTGCCGCAGTCCACACAACTCCGCATGCGTTGGTGGTTGAACCGACCGCATTGCTGCACTCGCCGAGAGGTGGGTACTTCCGCTTGCGGCTCTCGTTCGCGCCAAGCTCCTCCGCGAACATCGAAAGAGGCCGACACCGGGAATTGGGTGGAAATCGCACGGCACGTCCCGTCCCCCGGCTATTTTCGACTAAATTCAAGTTCGCAGTTAAGAAACACGAAAGTTAGGAGGGAGGGTGTGAGAGACAAGCTCAGGGAAGGTTTACTACCTTACTTCACAGATTGATAAGAAACAAGAAGCCTCGATCAAGGGCTGCATCTAGCGAAAAGATGCCCCCCCGCGGGTGCGATGGATAAGAAAAGAATTTTACAACAAAACTCCCTCGCACAACACTGGGCACGGGACTGGCGCGCACTGCACTAACACAGGTATACCATATAAGAAAAGAAAACCAGAAGCTTCCCACCAAACGGCGACCGTCGGCCGCCGTCCACTCGCGCACGAGAGTGTGCCTGCTGCCTGCGGCAATTTTTAGGATGAGGGTTCTCTCCCTCGCGCAGGGCACGCGGAGAGCGTCGTTAAGAGCCCAGCAGCTTCGCCCGCTCTCGCGTGCCCTCTCCACCATCACCGGGCGGCCAAAGTCGATCGATGAGCAGGCAGGCCTCTTCCCGCGCAAGTGGCCCGTCGGCCATCGGCCTCACACCCCGCTGCGCGCTCCCCCCTCTGCAGGCCCTCCAGGAGCAGCAGCGGCTCGGGATGAACCCGCGGCCGGGCGGGCTGCCAGAGTGGGTGGAGATGTGGGGCGTGGATTCCTTCCGCAAGACGGGCTACGTGCTGGCCGGGCTATCCGCCGCCTCCGTGCCGCTCGCCTTGGGCGGTCACATCGCGGAGCTGCTGCCCGTGCTACTGACTGGCACGACGGCGGGCTACTGGGCGCTGGGGCTTAAGGACATCGGGCAAAAGTCGCACACGCTGCGGCGCAACTTCCCGGTGATGATCCACTTCCGCTACCTGCTCGAGGGCATCCGGCCCGAGATCCAGCAGTACCTCATCGAGGACGAGCAGAAGATGGTCCCGTACTCGCGCGCGATGCGCAACACAATCTACTCGCGCGCAGCGCCGCGCCCTCGGGCCTCCCCACCTCGAAGCTTCCCTGAAGCGTCTCGCGAACCGTCGTAGGCGCGCGAAGATGAAGATCGGCGCAGACACGCACGCGCTGGGCACGCGGCGTGACGTCTACTCCCCGGGCTACGAGTGGGCGGGCCACTCGATGTTTCCGGAGCCGATGTGCGACCTCGACGAGGCGCGGGTGCTGGTCGGCGGCCCTGCCTGCAAGCAGCCCTACTCGGCCGCGCTGCTCAACATCTCCGCGATGTCGTACGGCTCGCTCTCGGGCAGCGCTGTCTCGGCGCCCGCTGCCGAGAGTCACGAGACCGCCGACTCGCCTGGAGATGCTCGCCCCCCGCTGCGGCAGCCGTCCGAGGTTCACACGCGAGCCCGCCCGTCCACCCCTGCTGGCTAGGCGCTCAACCTCGGCGCCAAGAAGGGGGGCTTCTACCACAATACCGGTGAGGCACGGGCGGAGGCAGCGCCGCCTCCCGCCACGCCCGCCGGCACGACCCGCGCTCCGGCCGCCTCGCAGGCGAGGGCGGCATCAGCAAGTACCACTTGCTCGGCGCCGACGTCGTGTGGAACGTCGGCACGGGCTACTTCGCTTGCGGCAAGAACGTGGAGCCGCCGGCCTTCAAGGGGCAGCGCGAGTTTGATCCGGAGCTCTTCGCAAAGAACGCGACGCGGCAGCCGCCGCCCGCGCCCTTTGACACAAACTGCCTTCCAACCTCCACCCCTCCTCCGCAAGCCGCTCCCTCTGAGACCCATCTGACCCCTCCTCCCTCCGCGCGCCCTCGGCGCAGGCCTGAGATCAAGATGATCGAGATCAAGCTCTCGCAGGGCGCCAAGCCGTCGCACGGCGGCATCCTTCCCGCCAACAAGATCACGCCCGTCATCGCTGACGCTCGCGGCTTGGGCCCGCCGCCGTGGTCCGGCTGCAGCTCGCCGCCTGTGATGCCACGTCGGAGCTGGACTCATCACTCCGTCTTCCCTGCAGGTCCGACTGCAACTCGCCGCCCCGCCACAGCGCCTTCTCCTCGCCGGCGGGGCTCATGAAGTTCGTCGCGCAGCTGCGCGAGCTCTCGGGCGGCAAACCCATCGGCGCGACAATTCTAGCCGAGATGTGGCCACCGTCTAGGACCCCCCGCGCGGCGCAGCTCTCCTCTCCGCAAGCCGCGTGGACCCGCGCCGCCGCCGCCGCCGCGCGACTCACGCGCACGTGCTGCCACCACGACAGGCTTCAAGATGTGCGTCGGCCGACCCGAGGAGTTTGCGGCGCTCTGCCACGCGATGATCGACAGCGGCACCGTCCCCGACTTCATCACCATCGATGGCGGCGAGGGTGGGACCGGCGCGGCGCCGGCCGAGTTCCAAGACAGTCTCGGCATGCCGGCGCGCGACGGGCTGAGGTTCATCAACTCGATGCTCATCGGCTGCAACTTGCGCGACCAGGTCAAGCTCATCGTCGCGGGCAAGGTCCGCCGCCGCGACGGCCCACCGCCCCTGCGGACGTTTTGCCCTCCGTGCCCGCTCAGCCTCGCGCGTCGCTGCGGCCAGGTGTACTCGGGCTTTGCGCTCGTGCGCATGCTGGCGACGGGCGCGCGCGCCCCGGCGCTGCCGCCCAGCGCGCGTCCGCGCGGTCACGCCCGGCCCGCCTCCGCGCACACAGGCGCCGACTTGTGCAACACGGCGCGCTCGATGATGTTCGCGCTCGGCTGCATCCAGGCGCTCAAGTGCAACTCGAACCACTGCCCGACGGGCATCACCACCCAGCAGCCGCACCTCGAGTCGGGCCTCGACGTGGGCACGAAGGCGCTGCGGGTCGCCAACTACCAAGAGGCGACGGTGCACTCGGCGCTCGAGATCATCGGCGCGCTCGGCTGCAAGTCGCCCAAGGAGGTCACCTCGGACATGATCTACCGGCGCTCGGCGACGAACGGCGGCTACGGCGTCGAGAACTACGCGGACCTGCAGGCCGAGGCCTACTTTGCGAAGCTGCCCGAGGGCGCGCTGGTCGACCCGGCCAAAAAGGACCAGCTGCCGCCCCAGTACGTCGGCTGGTGGGAGAAGGGGGGGGAGATTTACAAGAAGGCTGGCACTGCCTGAGCGACGGGGGAGGAGTGACGACACAGGCGAGCCTGTGGCGGCGCCGGCCGAGGCGGCGGCGGCGGGGGGGGGGGGGGGGGTCCCAAGCCTCCCGGGGGTCGTCTGCATGCTCGGGGCCCCCTTTTGGGGGGGTCCCTGGATTGCGCAACGGGGCCCTTTGGCCCGCGGCAGGAGAGGGGGGGAGAAGGGTCCCCTGGATCCAAAGGGTCCAGATTTCCCCCCCGGGGATGTCCGAAGCTTTCCGAAGAGATGTTTTTGTCCGTAGGGGGCCCCTCGGCAGCGGGACCCGGCCCCGGGCACGGGGAGAAACAGCGCAGGGGTCCCGGGGGGGGGCCACATCCTTAACCCGAAAGGAAGTGGCGCGGCCCGGTTTCCCGGCCCCCGGGGGTTTGATCTATCGGGAAGTTGGGGGCGCCCCTTAAACCCCGGGATAACGGATGGGGGCCGCCCCCCAAAACTGGTCTAAAACCTG